CAAATTTAATACGATTTTAAATATAAGATTTGACTGTAAACATCAGTCGTGCGCACTCTTCGGTCGCACGGCTTTGCGACGGTGCCTCCAACGCATATAATTTCCCGTGTACTAACTTGTCGGTCTCATCCTGCCTGTCCGTCTGCTGCTCACAAATCCTAAATGTATGCACCGTAATAGAGCTTAGGAAAAGTTCCGTACAGTGCGTGACTATGAGTTATGTGACAGTATTTATATATAGACTATATAGCGGAGCCACACTAGGAAAGAAGGATTGCGCGGCAAATCATTTTGCGTAAGTAGCACTGACGTAGATATCATCTCGCGTAAGTAGCATTTCCGTTTATATCATCATTCGCACACGAAATTTGACATGAGTGTCCGAAAGATGTGTGGGAATTTTTCAAATTGGTACCGAGTGAAGTTTTAGATATAGTGATTATTAATGCGAATGTGACGATAAGTGCGAAAGTGATCAATCGAGATAAGCGAGACAGTCGGCAGCGAGTGAAAAAATCTCTCTAAAAAATATCAATCAGAAATAGAAGGATTCAGAAGTCAGTGTCAGACATCGGAGCATCGAAGTTACGCAATAACGAGCGCGGTTGTAGTTTCAAATGGGTGAGGCTGGCTGTCGATCGAAATCGCAACTACATGGAGGGACATGAACAATTTTAGTCCCGCTTTGCATGTTAGAAAGTAGGTCGGTTCGTTTTCGCTGCACCGCCGAAAATATGCAATAAGTTGAAGAGAGAAAACATATACTTGTTTTCCTTCAACTTATTGCAATAGTTCAGCGGTGCAGCGAAAACGAACAGACGTAGTGTTAGAAAGTCTACTAGAAAATCTCAGCAAGTCTTTTCTGTAAACTTCAACGTAGAGGGAATAGCCAAAAGCTTTTTGTAAAATTTCGTATAAAATATTTTTATCGGGATTATATAGAAGATCCCTGGTATGTTATGTGTAAATAAATATTAATATTGTTAAATTACCGTAATCTTATTGGGACGTTGATGTGCAGTGCGTATACGTTGTATCATTTATATCACATTGGCGATAACTATTTACAGGTTATTACGAAACTTTTTGGACAGTTCGGGGTATACGATACTCTTCCATGAATGTTAAGAATGGCAAGAAGTAATTTGATTATGTTAAATTGCATTTTGCTCTTCGCGTTCAGTACAGTGCACGCCGATAAATTGACTGTACATACGCGAAATGGCACGTTGGAGGGCCTAATGATGCAAACTAGACGAGGAAGAGACATCATCGGATTCCGAGGAATTCCTTACGCCCTACCACCGCTCGGCGAACTCAGATTTCAGGTTAATTTTCTTGCTTATTGCGAGACGTTCGCGGGGCTGATTATGCTGTTGGAGGATCGAATCTGTTTAAACCTGATGCGAAAATCCAAATTTGCGAAATTTAAATAGATCTTTTACTTTAATATTTACACTCGACATAACGAAGTTATAACAAAAGTTGCAAATACGTAGGAAATTTCAGTATATAGAGTTATGTAGACAACTTAAAGGCTGTTAAGATAAACGTACAATTTTAGAAGTCTATGTTAATAAGCATGGATTAGTCGCTAATTACCTAGGTCATGGCTGTTAAAAGATAAATATAACCAGAGACCGGAATTCATTAACTAAATTTATTTGTGGTATACGTACTGATGTTTAATAAACTGTACGTTGTCTCGCGCAATTCCTCAAAAATCTATGTCAGGAATTTTTGCGGTAATCGGTGTGTAGCGGTTAAATAGGAATATCATTAAAAAAATGAAGTTATCTCCCACGGTTTTATGTACATCGTACTTTTCCTTGCAATTACGCGAATGACACTAATTCGAACTGTCACTTTTCTGAACTAGTACAACCTATTGATTTTTTGTTCACTTTGTTACATTTAACGTCATCAATTTTTACTCCTGTTTGGAGAAATAAATTTAATATCTTCTTGATCGCTGGCATATTTTTATTAGCAGTTTGATTGCACGTTTGAGAATCATTTGTACTCTATGAAAACTTCATATCGTTGAAAAGTGTAAAAAGTTAATCCGCTTGTTTCGGTCAGGTCCGAATATCATTTCCGCCTTTCGCTCGAAACGGTGAACCAGTTCCGACGTAGAAAACAGGTTTAGAACCACCGTTAATCAGTATGCTTAGAATCAATCATGTGATACGATGTGTTTTTCCCGAAAGCCACCAAAGCCCGCGGCCGCCTGGGACGGCGTACGGTCAGCTAAAGACGATGCTGAGATATGTACACAGCTGGATATTTTCATTCAGTCAGCAATGATCCAAGGCGTTGAAGATTGCCTTTACCTGAATGTCTATACACCGAAAGTGCCATCAGATCAGGAAGCAGCAACGTTCCAACGATTTCCAGTCATGGTCTTTTTACACGGTGGTGCATGGTTGATCGGTTCCGGTCACTCTTCATTTTACGGGCCGAAATTTTTATTGGACCATGACGTCGTTTTGGTCACTGCGAATTATCGGTGAAGAAACTTGAATAATGATCGTTTGTAAATTCAATCATCGTTCGTACGACCTGATCTTTATTACGAGTTTTATTACGACTAAAGGAAGAAAACGCTGCTTTGTCTTTTTTTCAACAATGTTCAGATATACCGAGTGCCTGAAACCTTTCTTCATATTCGTGGTGCTTAGAAATCAGTTGATACTCATCGTTGTTATGAGATTTTCAGAAGTAAGCCATGTTTCTTTACACGGAGTAGAGCCCACCGCTTCCTGTATACTCATTAGTTCATACAGATTAATTAATTCTTCCTTAATTATTGTGAATTTTACAAAATGATATATAACCTTTCTTCACTTTAATAATATATATACTTCTTGCAATAGACTTGGACCGTTAGGTTTCTTGAGTACGGAGGATATGGAATGTCCAGGTAATGTAGGTCTGAAGGATCAGGCGCAAGTCATTCGATGGGTGCACGAGAACATTGTCGTTTTCGGCGGTGATCCGAATAAAGTGACCATTTTCGGTGGAAGCGCGGGCAGTGCAAGTGTGCAATATCATATGATAAGTCCTCTCTCACAAGGTAAGGCTTTATATAAAATGATTATGTTGAAACATTAATGTTTGCAAGAAAATGTATCGCTCAAAAATTAGATAAATATACAAGGTGTCTGAGAACAACTGCATACGGATCTCAAATAAAGCAACTTTTCGCTATTTATGCTATTCCGTAACCGTCTATCGATAATTGTCGGCTTAATAGTGTCGCAGATATAACGTGGCAGGAATACTACGCAATAATATAACGATCTAGAAATTGACGGTTACGGAATAGCACCTCAAAACTTGGTGAGCGATGTATTTCATGATATGCAATGATCACGTTTTCGTGACCCGCAGACTGCGCGCTGGGCGACAAAGGAAGGGAAATTGCGCCAGTCACCTAAAAACCAAGTGGAAAGTACATTGCTTGCTGAATTCTGATGTAAAACTACATTCATTTTATGCGGCAATGTATTCCGCTTAATTCACGTCCGTATCAATTCAATAATACTTAATCAAAAAGGTCACATTAATAAAATAAGAATATATTTGTGAGAAACATCCGATAATCGGAAAACCAAACGGAAAGATAAATTATTCTTTGGTTTGAGGCAAATCAATTGATACTTAGGCCTTTAACCCATAAGCTACGAAATTGAAACTCAAAGTATCGTTGCAACATATCAAATGAGTATCAAATGGCCGTGTACCGACATTTAAACGTACCGATACGAATCGGGACGTCCTTAGCATAATTTCTTTCTATGATCGAGAGGTATTTATGTTTCCCTCCCTACACAGGTCTTTACCATCGCGCAATTTCTCAGAGCGGCGCAGCTCATTGCCCGTGGGCTTTAATCAAGCCGGGATTGGCAAAAAAAAACGCTAAAATCGTGGGTAAACATTTGAACTGCCCCACTGAAAATTCCAAGGAACTAATCGCTTGTCTGCGTACAAAAAGTGCCGTCGACATTATAAGTACCAGTCGTCTTTTCCAAGTAATTATACAAATGCTCTTTCCGAATATGTGCTTTTGACAGAGAAATTTCCTGCCCGAAACTTTGCGTACCAAAATTGGCACAATCGATCATTTACGGTCTTTTCATCATATGTCGCATATATCTTCTTTTTAGTTTGCACAGAACATGTATTCATTCCAGTATGCTTCTCGACGTTTCAAATAATACAATTTAATTAACTGATGTTCTATCATAGATCTTCGGTTACGATCCGATATTCTTACCACCGGTGATAGAACCCAATCATCCAGGTGCCTTTTTAACGGAGGATCCTGTAATCTCTACGAAACACGGTCGAATCGCTGATATACCTTGGATGATGGGAGTCACATCTGAAGAAGGAGCCCTAAGAATACCATGTGAGTAAACAATTCGAATCCAATAAGAGAAACGAATTTATGTAAAATAAAAATCTTCCATCATAAAATCCTAATTAAGAAAAAATTTTGCTAAGCGATTTTCTTTAAAGATATTTCTTCATTTTCTTGAACGCGAAAGAGAAGGATTTGTCTTTTCCTATAATTTCTTTCTTTTAAAATTTTATTAATGTTGCAAAGATTACTCGTTTTATTCTCGAAAAGTTATTATCCGTACCTGAGTAATATGTAAACTCAGTTTTCCGCGTTGCATTGAATTTTTTAATTTATTATGTACTTACCACGTGAATCTTTTCAACATAAACGCTGTCGTACACTGTAATGATATCCCATGTGTAATTTCGTACAAATTATGCATGAACAAGACAACGTTGATGAAGGGTATCTTTACGTGATTCGCGATACTTTTCAGCTCTTCACAATTGGGACAATGGTGAACAAGTGAAGAAATTGAATAAGGAATACAAAAAGATAATGCCTATCACTTTGATGTACGAGAACACGTGTCCTAAATCTATGCAAAACGATGTGTCCAGCAAGATCCGGGAGTTTTACTTCGGTGATCGTGCCATTGACATATCCACCACATCCCAAACCATTGACGTGAGTATAAATAGTCGCATAAATTATAATATTAATATCTATAAATCGATTCTATCTATAAAAAGTTACATCCATAATCTCATTTATATCTTACACAAAAGCGTTTCAATCCAATTGTGACTGATATTTACCACGATTATTCATTAATTTAATAGCTTGTTAATGTGATCATTAATGTGATTTTATAATATTACTTATATAAAATTTTACTAATAATTTTACTTATATTATTTTACAGATGTACAGCGACGCATTGTTAATTCATGGGATTTACAAGGCTGCACGAGATTATCTTGATATTCAATCTTCACCTATCTATTTTTATTACCTCGCGTACAAAGGAAGCTCGTCTTTAATCAAAATGTTCGGTGGTACCAAGGATTACGGAGTTTCACACGCAGACGAGCTGCTATATCTGTTCCCCGTGGGTGAATTATTATTTCCTGACACACCGCTGTCCAAGGAAGATAATCGCATGGTCGATGTCATGACTAGCTTCTGGTTCAATTTTGCCAATTCCATGTAAGTGTGAAAATCTCAAGCTGACGTGGTATCATTATAGAATACAATAAAGCTACGAGTGAAACTCATATTTTGGCAATTCTAATCCCGGACTTTCTTCTTGATGAGATGAAGTCGTCATGAAGGTGATTTGGTTGACGGGATATTCGGTTGCATTTTTTCAGGATCCCGACACCGAAGATTACGGAGGAAATCCCCGTGAAGTGGAGTTCGGTGAAAACACCGTACAATTTCGAATATTTGTACATAGGAAATTCAGAGATAACCATGAAAAAAGGCTTTCTCCCGGAGAGAATGAAATTTTGGGATAGCTTGCCGATGCGTCCGAATCTCGAAATGAAACAGAAAGCTAAGGAAGAGCTGTAAATTGTATCATACGTGCAAATAAAAAATGTGGGTGTTGGGAATGTTTAATCCTTAAGCAGCGTCATTTCTTTTAGGATTAATCGTGTCTACGTTTGCGGCTACTTTGCTGGAAAATTCGAATTCCGTAAATGTGTTTTTAGATTTTATAAATATCTCCCAAGTAAACACCAATTATATAACTATTAGTTAGTTTTTTGGAATGTCTTTATGTGCCGGGATGTTTTAATTTCCTACTTAACAATGTAGCTGTTATATAACATGTATGTTATGTAACAATCACATTATTGAACAAGAAATTATAACTAACAATTATACAATGTAACTTCATGTTTGTTGATATAGGTGAAGAACGACACCAGTTTGATCGAGCTTGGTTTAACATCGGGACGTGTTATTGTATCGCCGTTACATGCGCGAGTAAACATTAATGGGGATAAAATCGAAACGTAGAATCTAATCTTTATATGTCATCGTGTAAGACAAAATTAATTATCAAATTTGTTCATAGCATAGATTGCAACATCGGATATCTAAATTATATTAAAATATACTTTCGGCAATTTTTCTTTATCCTTTTAAGTCACTTTAATGATTCTTAGGCAAGTATTTATATTCTCATAGTTATACTGTTTAGCGCTCAATGATTTAAATATTTAGCATTTTTGGAAATATACAATGATCTTAAAGTTGTCGTGACGCAATAGCAGTTTTTTTTCTTTGAAGAAGAAAAATTATATAGCCGACTCTATCAGATCGTTTGTATTTACAAATATATTAATTTATTCACGTATTGATTATAACAATAATATTAATAGTGTTTTGAATGTAATGTGTAAATCAATATACTACGATGGGAGATCTGAGAGATCTCGTGTTATAAATTATAAATACTTCATAGATGCAATGTGTTGTGAAACGCAATATATTGCATGGTCGCTTCGTCAGATTTTAATTATCACTATAGGAATGAGAATTCCTTCCCAAGAGTCTATTCTCCAATTCGTAACGATCCAATATTATCGAATGCAGATAAAGTGTGAACGGATATTGCGTGCTAGCACTAATACAAATACTAGTACAAGAACTTGGTTGAATCTCCGACAGTCACATTTTTATCGATCGTCGAAAAGAGAATGCACGCGACGCCAGCTCTCTTATGTAGATAATGTAGAGATTTAATCGTATCTGTTCTAATGCATTAATACCGCACTGTTTTGGATAAATATACATTCATATCACATCGGAGGTTATTCTAAGGTTCACTAATCTTTATAAGATTAATATTTCCACTTAAAGACAATTCAATCATCTCTAAATTATAAACTAACGATACGCAATAATTAGGAATTGCCGTATTGGTCCGGATACTCGTCGACAATACGTTAATCAAGCTGGACATGTATGAGACGTTCTTTTCAGTAGCAGTCGAAATTGAATAGTTCAAAATTGGTTTGTCAGAGTCGAAAATTTGTCTTTCCCACCCGTAGCGGACGGAAGATGTTTCCGGCAACGTTCGGTAGGGCGCGCCGCGACGCGTGAGCGACGAGAGGTCGTACGAATCCGCGGATGTGCGCGCGCGCGTTCTCTTTACCGATGACGAGATGTGCGAGAGACGGTCGTCGCGGCAGTGGGTGCCGGCAGTCAGTGCATGTCGGCCCGAGGCACGTATCGATAACGTATCTGTGCGCTCGGTGCTCTCCCGAAAGCGAGAGAGAGAGAGAGACACGCAGTCCCGGGTCGCGTGACGGTGCCTCCCGCGCGTACGAGAAAGACACGTTCGAATTCCGGTGTATCGTCCGACAGGCACGTCCGTCTGTCTGCGAATCGAAAATTCGCGGGTCGTGGTGGAGCCGCGTACGAGGAGCTCGGCACAGTGCGTGACGACGAGGTGTGTGACACGGTATCTGTGTGACGGCTGGACGGATTCGGCGGAGCCACACCGGCGTCAGGAGGGAGGGAAGGAGTACGGCGGCGAATCATCCCGGTGAGTAGCATTTCCGTGGGTTTCGTTTCGCACGTGAAACTCGACGCGAGGATCCGAAATATGTCCGATCCCGGGATCAAAGATGTCCGATCGAATGTTCCCGAGTTAGACGAGGACGGGTGATCCGAATTTTCTAGTGATCGGAACTGTTCGAACGTAACAGGAGCGTATTTCAAACTCGCAGCTCGGACAGCGAATAACAGGAACGAAATCGTCGGTGAATTCAATCGACGTTGCCGAGGAATTGTCCATTCAGACGGCTCGGTCATCGAGGAAAGTCCCAGCGAGAGTAGTGTGTACGTTGAAAAAAGAAAGTAAACAATGTTTTTCTCGCTTCCCCTTCGCGATGTCGCGTCGCCAACTTCACGGAGTACCGCTACATGCCGCGCCACTTTGCGTCTTACGTCGACGAATTATGGCAATTTCCGCGTCACTTCGAATCGTCCCGACATACATTTTCCGACCGCGAGATGAGACCGGAGTAATGTGACTTGAGTCTAACCTATAACGCGGAAAAGAATTGAACGACGGGATTCCACGAGCTAACTGCTATAGCGAAACGTTTGTCTGAATTTATTTAATAGAATCGCACGCTCGGACCCGAAAATACAGGAATTCGATACGAGCACGATAATGTGGGCGGAACGCGAGAGTGAATTTTTCAGCAAAATATTGTTTTCCTCGCTTTATAGCGCGAAATATCAGTCTACGGAAAAATGTGTGACCGGATTTTAATGGAGTTATACCGCAGCTTCGCGCCGGCGATAAATTAATATACGGGCTTTTCGTAAGTTTTCGATGCATCCGTCTGGTTTCTTTGTACCGAGGAGATGACGCAGTTGCTCATCCGTCTTGTCTCGAGTGACACTCGCGCCTGCCTCCCGGAGACTCCGAATAACGCGAGACCCCCTCGTCCTTTTCGCAAGGCTCTGTTCGTAACGATGCTCGATTTTCAGGGAGGGGGGGGGGAGGAGGAACCATTCTTATCGTCTGCCGGCGATAACGAGAAACGCAGAAACGAAAAAGTGCAACGTCCTCCGGAAGATTAGATATACGCGATGGAAACGATTACTTATTTTATCGTACGTTTAATGGAAGGTCATCGTCTTTAACGAGAAACAAGAGAGAGAGAGAGAGAGAGAGAGAGAGATATGTTCCGGAAGCGTTGGAAGACGCGACTCTTTCCGAAGGCAATTATCGCGCGCGATTATTTCGCACGATGACGCTCCACCGGTCGATTTTCATAGGATATCCTTGGAACACGAGGGTCAATGAGCGACACGCTTGCCCGACACGATGTTTAACGATCTGGAAAATGCTCGGAGGGATCGACTCGCGACCGGCTGCGGTGTGTCTGTGCCTTTATTTCGTCACCGGGAACTCCTTCGGAATTGCGATGGAAACTGTCGCGGCGACGTTACGCAACGGCGGTATTAACGTGACGTTTCGCCAACGCCAGAAAATATTCCATTGACTGGGGACTGGGGACTGGGGACCCATTCAATTGATTCGAATAAAATCTGGCTTGGATATGGGCGAACAGATGTGTTTTGCTTGTGAGAGTCAAAATTTGCTTCTCCGGAACGAAAGTGAGAAAGAAAAGGTCCGATTTTAGAGAACCATTTGTTCGGCCATAAGTCAGATTTTGTTCGAATCAACGAAATGGGTTTTTCAGGCGTTTACGTTCCCGGAGCAAGGCATCGGAGTAAATGGACGATTAATAGCCGAGATTCCGTCTGCTCGTTTGATTTTAAGTGAAAATTAATAGAACATCGACGACGTTTGATAGCATGAATCGGAGAAACCTTCGTAGTAGTTTATCCCTCGAGATATTTTAATATTGAACTTTTCGAGAGCGATATAGGCGCTTCTACACACGTTTTTCGTCGGATTGTTTTGAATGAAAGCCAAGGATATTCACCGTGCGTCACGTTCGTGGAGGACCCTTTCGCAATCTGCAACAAACATTGCGCTAACGCGACTTTCACAATTTACGTGTACACGTGCGATGAGCATACTCGAGTTCAGCAGACCAGGCAAGGTTAAAGCGAACGGACAAGGTTAACTTTGACATTGCCATACGCGCAAGAGCGCGGCGAGAGATGCGTGGAAGCCGGTCTACTGAAAAGGTACGTTTCAGGCTGGCTCTCGTCGTCGACAATCCGGACGGGAGTTTCGAAACGGCTTGAGTGAGCGCGTTCCGCGGAATATACCGAAGGGTCGGTGAAAAAAGTAACGGTACACGGCAAGTGGGTCGGAATAAAATTTAAATAGCTAAACACTTTCGCGGCTATTTGTAACATTCGCCGGTAATACTCGCGCGTTCGGTGCCACTTAGATCCAGCTATTCCTATAGCCGACAGAGCAGCTCCGATATTTACCGTAGAATCTCCGAATGCGGGCGTTTATAAATTCCGTATGGCTCCAATTAAAATCGAGCCCGTTAAAGTCAGGAGAGTCTCGACGAAGGCGTCTCGGACGCGAACGTCGAGGCGAGCGGTTCGCACAACATTCCGAGGTTCCAACTTGCGGAAGTCGTTCCTGCGAATTGCTAAATGCTCCTTATCGTGGCTCATTAGATATCGTTAGTTATCGGGCCCAAGCTTGGAAGCCGGGGAACGGTAGGGAGGGAGAATCTTCGCTGCCGATTACGGCCGTGCCGGAAGCGGAAAGTCGTTACCGAGACAGGACGATGTGTCGCCCCGATGCCTCGCCCCGGAGAGAGGCGCGTTCGTGCGCCGCATGGAGCGTCCTTGCTAATGACGATAATGATAATAATACTAATGACGATAACACTGGACGGCTGGTCACTGGCCATCGCGGGCATAAGAGGCGATTCCGACTCGATTCTATTCCGATTATCGCGACTGACTGACTGACCGCTGCGCTCGACGATAACGCTTCGGCTGGGCGAAACTTTCGGATCCTCGCGCGAGCAGCTTCCTCGCTTTTATTGAAATCTAATATCGATGTATTTCTTTTCCCCGTATTTTCGCAACAAGGATTAACCGGAGAA